GTGGTTTGGCAGAGCGGCTCTGTTCACTGTAGTCACTCCAAATTGACAGAATAGTCACCATCTTGAACATTGCTGGTTGCTGTCTTATAGGAAAAGAAAGAGATTCTTGAGGGTCTTGCAATGGCAATTAAATGTCAGGCTCAAAAGAAACACATGTCACATCTGCTCATGCTCTTTGTCCAGTCACTTGCCTCAGTCAACCAGAAGGGAACCCAAATCTGTAATCTTACCACGTGGCCAGGAGTGGAAGGGATCTATAATTATTTAATGAACAGAACTAGTGATGACCACAGTGGCTTATTTCTCTGTATGTGTGGCATGGATTAAAACACTTTGGAGTGTCTTCCAGCCTAACTATTATAAAATATGGCAGGGTCAGCCAGGTGGGGTTAGGGTAAGGTATGGGTGGAGAATGAGGACAGGGGAGGAAGGTTGGTTACCTCAGCTCAAGCTCAGGGAGAAATGAGAACATGGCTGAGTTTGGCTGCTCACTGGACTAGTCCAACTGATGCATGTAAGAAAATGTGGTGACCATTTGTCAGGTCCTTCAGGCTGAGGGTGCCTTATACTGATGGTGGACTAGAGAGATCCCCCTGCCCAGAAATAACTTACCTCCTGCTGTCTGAAATTCTTCCATTAGAGATTTATTCCTTTGGTTCTAAAATGATATTCTCCAGGTCGTGTCCAACAGAACACTTCTATTAGATGTGAACAGACGCTCCTTGGTCAAATAAGAATGTGAGCTACTGGGTTAAATAAAATTAAACAGGTTTTTCCTCTGTAGGCCTTCTCAGGGCCTTTTTAAATATGTGAATGTGTATTGTCTTTCCCTGAGAAGGGACCAAAAATGTGCGGCATTTCCCCATTTTTGAAATCAAGGAATCCTTTCCTCCATAAATACCTTCCTAGTGTTGAACTCGGCAGTTTGGGAAATGCTGATCCGGGGGCCTTTTCAGTCCTCTTGAGTCCCCTGTGCAAAGTAGATGTCTCCGGGACAGGCCTGTCATGGAGCATGAAAACAGTGCAGACGAGGCCTTGAGAGAATGGGATTTGAGAGAACTGTTTGGGGTAGCAGAGGGTCTGAAAGAGAGAGATCAGATGTGACAATCGAAAGCAATCTTCTCCCCAAGGGGCCACTGAGCTGGAGCCGGGCGGAGCAAGAGCTCCCTGTCCTGCATCGGTCCCACTATCGCTGGCCTTGCTGCTTCCCTTCCTCTCCTGCCCGGGGAAGCTCATTGGTCCTGCTTTCCAAAGCTCTGGCCTTGCTCCACCTTCCCTTAACCTCACACCAGGATGTTTCTAGTCTTGCTGGCTTAGCTCTCAGAGTCCCTTCTGCTTGTAATGCCCTCTCTTTTCCCAGCTCTGATCTGGGAAATTCCTGCTCATCTAATAATCCATGCAGGCAGCCACCTCCAGGAAGCTGTCTTTGATACCTTTCTCTGCCCTCCAGCCTCAGCTGGAATTTTTGTCCCTCCTCAAAGCTCCCATAACATACTTTATTCCTGCCTTCATCGCGTGTATTTTAATCTATTTCTGTCCCTCTAATCTGGGAGCCCTTCACGTGTGGGCTTTATCTTTACATTGTTTTATCTTTATATCCTCCCCTGGTAGGACATAGATGCTCAAAAATTAATTGAATGAATAAGGGATAGGCATGCAGCAAGAAGTGGGTTAAAATCCCCCACATATACCACTTTAAAGAATTTCCCAAATTAGTGTACTCCGCATGTTTAAAAACCTCCTCCTTGCACTTCATCGCCAGCTCTGCTGCGTCTTCGATTTCCCAGATTCTCGGGTCCTCTCTCTCCCTCCCTCGCCATCTGCCTTCCGTCTGACCTGTTCTCCCCGATATCGTCACCTCCCCGTCTGCTCTGGGTCATCTGCTAGATGTTGTCCTTTCTCAAAGACCGTGAATGAGTCTTGGAATGTTACTGGCCTGCCTTAGATTTGTTGCCCTAAGTAGGAAGTAAATGTAAATATCTTGAGAAGAGGAACTAACTTGAAGGGTGAGAAGAAGATTTTTTTTTTTTTTTAAGGAGGTTGGATTTAGTGATTGGGCGAGAATGGGAAAACTAGAAGGAAACTAACGGCAACTGGAGGACGTGGAGAGTTTGTTGTCAGCAGTGCACGGTGGCTGCATTCTGACTTTTGTGGATTCTAGACATTGTCGCTTTTGTGGGCCCTTTCTCTATAAAAAATATTAAAAATAATGTGACTGTGTTGGCATAGAAAGAGGATTGTAATCCGGGCTGGATTTGTTATTACATACTCTTTTTATATTTAATTTTTTTTTTGATTTTAAAAATATTAACATTAAAACATTTTTTTGGACCTCTGACAATCTCGTGGCCCCTACACAAGGTATGTGCTGTGCCTGAACCCACCATCCTGCCCACGGCTCCTGGGACACACAGTGCCCTTTAGTCTTTTTGGGTCACACTGTTCCTTCCGCCTAGAACGTCTGTCCCTCATCCCACCCCCACCTTTTGTCCCCGTCCACCTGACAGATTCCTGCTTCATACCCAAGGCCCAGCTCGAATATCACTCTCTCTTGCCAGATTTAGCAGATTAAAATGCAGAATGCCTAGTTGCACTTCAGATAAACAGCAAGTAATCATTTTAGTAGAAGTCTGTCCCACATATTGCATGGCTCAAATCTTGCATGAGACAGAGTTATTCTAAGAAATTATGCATGTTTATCTGAAATTCAGATGATCTGGCACTCCAACTCTGTAGCTGTCCCGGACTCGTTTTCCTTTCAGGTTTTCTTCCCACCTGCTGCTCGCTGAGGCATTCTAGCGCGCTCTGTGCACCTGTCACCACACCCCCGCTGTCAGTCTACATTCCCATCATAGTGACCCTCACCTGCCACGGGCAATGCCTAGGTTGTCACATGTGAGTAAATGGGTGCTTTCCCTTTATTTCCCCTCACTATCTAGTTATTTTCAGGGATGACTTGGTAGCATTAGGTTTTAATTTCATCCAGGATGAGACAAAGGTTGAGTTAACTCTTGCGTGGGATTACCGGAGCTCTTCTGTTTACAAAGCTATGTCTCAAGATAACGCTTTGGGATGAGACGTTTTGTTATCTGATGGAAGACAGCCTGAGGCTGGTGGCTTATACCTACATTCCCTCCCTGCCACCGTTCTGAGAAACAAAGGGGAACAGTATGAGGTCTCTGGCTCCCTCTGCCCTATGATTCTGGGGTCAGACAGCAAATCAGCTATGGCCCAAGCAGGACCCTGCATGTGAAGGCGGGGTAGGAGGTAGCTTTCTGTTTTTGAGACTTAGGTTCAGAAAATTCTGACTTTCCACCTTTACCTTGGGGTGGATTTGTTCTTTCAAAAGTTCTTTTAAACCTTTACTTCAACCAGTGGTGGCCACATGGGAGTAAACCAGCCTGAGATGATCTCATGGGCGTAGCCACACGAGACCTTCAGCGCCTGGAGTGCGGGCTCCTGATCAGTGCTCTCACGCCATTCCCTGTAGCAAGGAAGTCAGGGCCAGGAGCCCAGTGGAGGCAACGTTCCTTCTGGGGACCACAACGAGGGCCACTCAATCCCTCTGGACTGTGGACCAGCCAAAGTACTGGCGGTTCTGAAGTTTGAGCCTGGTGAGGGTTTTCAGCAAGCAAAACCGCAGGCGGTTTCATGGTCCCATCCATCTGGAATTCTGCACGTTACACCCCAGCTGGACTGTCACAACGTTCGCTAGTTTGATAAAGGCTTCATGTCCCTTTTAAACTTTAAAAAACTGTATGATGTTGTTTAACTCGATGCTTTCCAAACTTATTTGATCAGAGAATCACCCCCTCCTCCTTTTTTTGAAGCGCTTCTTACCCTGTTAGTCATCCTGGAAACACACTTTGGGGAAATGGGTCTAAAACAGGAGCGGAAGTAAGCAAGAGTTTTACAGTCTTTGCATGCCCTCTTCAAGTCACTAACTTCCTACCAGAATTTGGCTTAGAGGAAGTGTGGCTGGCCTCGGCGCTGGCCTGGCAGAAGAACCCTAAATGCCCTACCCCACAGTGGGTACCAGAGGCTCCATCAAGTCTCAGTGCAGGGAGCTGGCGGGCGTCAGGAAGGAAGGGCGTTTCGGGCAAAGTGTGGTGCTGCACCGAGTGCTGTCTGCTGCAAAGCCTAGGCCGGCGGCCACTTTGAAGAGTCTTAAGAGCGTCAGGGTTTTGTTTTGGGTCTAAAACACCACACAAGGCCACCTTTTAATAGTCACAAGGCCACCTGTGACATAGCACGAGGTGTGTGTCATCTGAGGAGGAAGCATGCTCTCTTCCCCCAGCCCAGGGCAGTGGCATTTCCTCCCTTCGGTGTGTTTTTCTTGCCATCAGAATATACTAAGCTCAAGGCCACCATTTGCACAATTCCAGGGATTCTGCTGCATTGCCACATAGAACCGACGTGAATGGCATCACCCAGAGTTGTGCAAAGTGGTGGCTGCATCCAAGTATTTGCCTGCCTCTGGGTTTGCCAGGATGCTCCTTATTTGTTGGCACTATCTATTTCTTAAGTCCTGCCTCAATGTCACCTCTAATTAAAGCAGGCTCCCCGTTAGTTTTTATTATATCATGTTTGGATTTTTTTATAGCAGTTATTATCATTTGGATCACTACATATTTTTTACTTTTTGAATATTGTCTATCTCCACTCAAATAAAATACCCAATCCACGAAGGTGGAGATTTTTGTTTTGGCCGCTTTTGCATGGCTAGTGCCTTAAACAGTGCCTGACGTGTTCAAGTGTAGGCAATGCCATAAGTATTTGTGAAGATAAATGAAGAATGACTTTGCAGTTTTTCCCCCACCTGGGTAGTGATTGGTTGTGGAGAGTTGACAGGCAAGGCCACTGACCAACCAGTGGGCTGTGTGATGGTGAAGGGGACAGCCTTCTAATCTAGGGCTCGACTGGTAACAAATGCTCGTGGATGGCTGCCTGACCCAGCTGTGGTCCCCAGGCACGTGGGGAAGTATAGAAGTACAGGGAGCAATAGAAATGAGTTTTTATTTGTAAAAAGTTACAAAATGATATTGTACAAAAATAAAGTCTGTAGAGAACTTTGGTTGAGTAACACAAACGACTGAGACGGATCAGAGAAGTTGGAACTTCCAAAGAAGTGTACTCCTTACTGGATCAGGTGGTATCGCAACGATAAAGAAAAATCACAAACTTTACCCTTTTGTGGATTTGGTGGAGAGATTTGTTTCAGTTAAAACCTGCTTATGGTGTATAGGTGGTGCTGAGAACAAGTTGTCAACACCCACTGAATCTTACAGCCCCTCTGGGCAGGGACTCTCCGTGGAGAGCTGGGGATGGCTGAGTTGACACCTGTGGACACCAGCCACCAAACTTTCCAGGGCTGTCTGAATCAGACAGACGATCTTCAAATTGTGCTTCATGAATGACCAGACTGCTGGGTCTGTCACTCTTCTGAACAGCAAGGTCCACCCTCTGGCCCCAGGAGAGTGGGAGAGAGGACCTCTTTCTCTGTTTGAATTGTGCAAGGGGAGCAGAAAGGACAGAAAGGGGTAGAATGATGGAGAACTTGGGTCTTTTGGGGCTGGAGGGAAGGGATATCTGGTAACTGCTGCCTCTTGGTTACTTTGTAAAATTAACATGATTATTTGAGGGAGGCCAGTAAGGTCACTGAATTGCTAAACCTGTTATATTCTTGGGTTAATAGCCACTAAGGTAGTGATAGATAATCTCCTTGATAAAAATCCCTTTTATGAAACGTGCAACGAGTTCTATTATAGGTCCCTGTGCATTGCGCATGGGTCGGCTGCCAGGCAAATCCACAGTCTGGGGCACATGTGAGGTGGTTGTTCCCATCCTCACTTTCTCCCCTTTCAAGACGTTCATCTTAGAGGTAGCACACTCAAGCCTTGGCGTGTGGCTGGGACAGACACGTCTTCCTCGTCTACCCTTCTGGGCCACTTTCTTCACAGGGAGGGATGGGGTATATAGGGACAACAACTATAGCTCTAAGACGACAGCCAACAGGCTTTTACGGCAACCAGCAGACCCCACTTCCGGAAGGCCGGCAGTGCACACCTTGGCCGCAGTGGGCACAGCCCATTCCTCGGGAACGGTGGGCAGAAGGATGGAGGAAGGGTCTCTGCTCAGGGTGAAACCCTGGCTACCTGACGGGATTTTTACTTTTAGGTCAACATAAACTCCAGGACTACCTACTAAAAGGAATTTAACCTTTCATATATATGGTTATGCATATCATAGATAGATATATGCAGAGGGGAATAAGAGCTTAAATACAACAGAAAATGGAGCATATGGCATTTCTGTTCAGAGATGGAGCAACGAAGAAATAAAACCAAGTGCCAACGGTGTCTGCACACTGCTTCCGAAAAGGGGGCCTGTCGGGAAAGTTCCTTTTGACACATTTTTTTTTTTTTTGTAAAAATAGAAAAAATAGTGAAGATGCAGAAACTGGGGACATTAATGAGAGCTTTTCTTAAAAAGGTAAAGTAAGTGATTTTTACCTAGCAAAAAACATTTTAATACTTTGAAAAGCATGGACCCTTGTTCCCAATTAAAATTTCCTTTATCACCTTTCTTTAGATTTTGTGAGCACATATACTTTGGCACCTTTGAAAAGAAACTTTAATAAATAAGGGGAGAAAAGAGAAACTCATTAGTGAACGGTAATAAATAACAATAACTTAAATCTCAATAAATATCTTCTCTATATTTCTGTATCTGAAACAGATGCATTGCATCGAGTAGCTTCTCTGGTCACTGGTGACCATGCATAAACGGAGCGGGGGTGTATGTAACATCTGTCTCCCTGTAAACTGACAGGCTGTGGGCCTCCTGCCCCAGTGAGCGGGGGGCCTAACCCCCTCACTCTCCTACGTGAATGCTGCCGAAAACCACAACTGGTTTCCTGTTTCCAAGGACGTAAAGCAAATACCTTCAGGTTGGATTTTAGTCCTGAGGACAGCCTTTTTGGTTCCTAGCCAACTTCTTCCCACCCCACATACCATGTTAAGAATCAGTCACCAGCCTTTCACAGCTCACTGGCTATAGTAAACCTCAGGCCTTAACTTTCAAATTCAAAGGTTACCATCTCTTGTGTCTTTGCTTTTCCGCCCTCCCCCCCGCCCCTCCTTTCCGGGGTATGTCTCCACTGAGTGACAGAAAAATAAACTTCTTGCTTTCAGCAGTAAAACATAATGACAAGGAATGACACCAGGATTACATTTCCCTGGTGTCTCCAGACATGTGAAAACAAACCACAGGAGATACACTGGTTTGGTTTCTAGTGCATCCGCATCTGCGCCCATGACCGGTGACGGTGGACTGTATCAGATGAAACAGTGGCAACACCCAACCAGGGACACCGGCCCTGAGCTTCTGGTGGCATCAGCCGCCGCGGAGGAGAATCCAGACGGCTGCTTTCTCTCTCTCCTGTCCAGTTTTCTGTAGCTGGATCTCCCTTTACCAGGCTCCCACAACAGCTGCCTTCCTCCTCTCTCTTCCGCCTCTTCCTCCTCTGCATCCTTGGTCCTCATCTTCCATTCTGGGCAAACATTTCCTGGGAACCTTGGTCCCTTTCTTTGCACTGTAGCAGGAATTCAATACACAGCGGTCTCTGGAGCCGAGTCAGATACATCCACACCTTTTAGCGGAATGCTTTCTTAGAATATGGTAAACCAGGTTATCATCTAAAAACGACAGGTCGTCGTCGAAGGCAATGGGTCTGCAACAGGCCTGCCCTACTTTGTCACTCACCAGCCTTCTATTTTTGGATAAGTTTTTTAATATTTTGTCGTACATTGTCTCGGCGGCGTCGCAGGAGCCACTGCAGTACCGAAAAATCAGTTCCTCCTTGGTTTCGTAGCCCAAACCCAAGTCAGTGACATTCAAATGGACGGCCGTTAGGACGCAACCCCGATTTTTGCCCCTCTGGCCTCGCCAACCTTTCCTTCTGGAACCCTCCGGGTTGGCGGCTGTGGCCTGCCGGTTCCGCTCTCTTCTGGGGAGCACTGCCATTTGTTTGTCTGGCGACCTTTTCAGTCTTTTAATGGTAGCTTGAATAAAATCCATGACGTCATCGAACTGATCAGGATAATCCTCTGGCATATTTGCTATTCAACAAGAAAACAGAAAAGGTCACGTGAGACAACAACAGTGATCATTTCAAATCATCTTCCAGACCAAAGTGCCTCCTCAAGTCAGTCGTGATGGACCCGCAGTGAAACTATTGGCCTGTCGAGCTAAGGGGCCCCTGTAACTCCCTAAGAAGAGAGGCTAAAATGCACCCTCCAGGACTCCACAGAAGGAAAATTATTCAGTTGAAAGAGGGGACTAACATGGAGGGTGATACATTTCTTTGTTGAAAACAAATCTTTAGAAGTGTAGTTTTCATTCGAATATCATCTGCCATTTTTACAAGTCTGTACTGAGGTTGCTGCGAGCAGACTGATCCTCAAAGGCCATTTTTCTTGTCTAATAACATAGCGTAGAGTAGTGGTTTGCAAACATGACTGTGTTGAGAATGAGCTTGGTGAAATGCAGATTACTCTAGGCATAGGTGTGGGGAGGAGTTCAACAAATCTGTATTTTTAACACGCCCTGGAGGAATTCTGGTGTAGGTGATCCATGGGCCATATTTGGGAAATCCTGAAAAAAGGATTATCTCAAATTGAGAAGTCTTCCAACATTGCTACTTTCATTCGAAAGACTAAGTTCTCTTCCCTGAAATCCATCCCAACTTAACACCTCTTGGCCAAGTGGGACAAAAACCATTTTGATAGAACAAAGGAAAAGCTCATGAACTCAACCATATTTTAAAACCTTCTTAAAAAAACATTAAGAAACTGAAAAACAGCATGCTTTTCACTAACAAAGAGACTAATTTGCCACTTCCTTGGAATAGCATTAAAAAATATGGTAATACTGTATGATGACACCGAAGTGTGTCATAGCAGCAAGTGGAATGAGATGCTCTTTGTGGACAAATGGAGTCTGACCCCATGGTGTGGTCCAGCCTCTGCTGCAGGTTCCTGCTGTCTTTGGCTGTGAGCAGGACGAGAGCAGGACATACACTTTAGGGACATCACATGGAGGAATGACGAGGCAGTGTTGCTAAGATATTTGAGGCCTTTGGGAAGGAATGAGATTTCTCTTGGTGTTTTCTGCTTTGTTTCAGCATTTGCTTTGGCTGATCAAGCAAGAGAAGATTAACTATTTGAACAACTTAATACAGTTCTAAAAGAGGAAGGCAATTCAAATGCCTTTATTAGGTACTAGACCTTTTATGCTCCCCTCATCCCATTTCCAGGTAATTTAGTATGTTTAGGGTTATATGTGGCTTAAAGAAATAGACCACAAAAGAGTTATTAGCAAGAGTGAATGGTTTTTGCCAAAACCATGTTAAAGCAGAGAAGGATTACATTATGCTTAACCCACAACAAATTGTTTTGTCATGAACTGATTGTTAAAACAGGTATCACGTATCCTATTGTGCAAAACAAAATACAGCTAAGGTGACTTGACCACCTCTCTCTCTCTCATCTATCATTTATCAATTGATAATCGATTCATCTATAGATCGATTGATAGATAATACATATCAAATATATGATATATAGTAATAAATAGAGTGGGGATCGTGTGAATCCCCAGAGCATCTTGTTGCCCGATATCTAAAATGTGGCGTTGGATGCTATGCTTTGCTGCACGGAAGCCATGAAGCTGCTCCCACCATGGTCCGAGCTCCACCAGCTCTTGCCTGGATAACCACGACAACCCCTGAACTCTCTCATGCCAGCCTTACCCTCCTTAAACCTATTTTCCACTCAACAGCCAGAATGACATTCTTAAAATTTTTAATGCAGCTCATGTTGCCCCTCTGCTCCAAACCCTCCAACAGCTCCCCGCTTCTCTTAGAGGAAAAGCCAAAGTCCACAAGGGCCTGAGGCCCTACCTGACCTGCCTACCGCCTCTCCTCAAACCTTTGCTACCTCATCTTCTATGTCTCTTCCCCTCACTGCATCCCTCCAGCTTCCCTGGCCTCCTCACTGTTCCTCAGACACAGGGTTTCTCAGCCTCAGTGCTGTAGACATTTGGGGCTGGGTCATTCTCTGTTGCGAGACGCTGTCCTGTGTGTTGTATCCCTGGCCTCTACCCAAGACATGCCAGTAGTACCCCGCCCCCATCCCAGTAGTGACCAACTAAAGTGCCTCCAGACACTGCCAGATGTCCCCTGAGGGCAAATCCTTGTGGGTTGAGAACCACAGGTAAGACAGAAGCAGGAACTCAGCAGGTGCACCCAGTGGCTCATTTCCCACATTCCCTTCAAGTCTTTGCTCAAATGTCTCCACAACAAGTCCCATCCTGACCTCCCTGTTTAAAATGCAATTCCTCCCCCAACCCAAACCCAGACCCTCCTGCCCTGCTCTTCTCTCCCCATCATAATACTTACTACCTTCTAACACATGGTATAATTTATTCATGTTCGTGATTTATTGTCTGTCTTTTCTGATAGAATGTGAACTCCAGGAGGCAGAGGCCTTTGCTTGGCTTGTTCACCAATGGATCTCAAGTGTTTAAAATAGGATCTGGTCCCTGGAGGCCCTCAATAATTTTTGAATGAATTAAGTCACACTAAGAGGCGGGTATAAAGAGTCAGTTTTTCAAGGGGACACTTGGACTTCAGCTATGAACCACACCATTATGAAATGTAAGGCTCCAAAATAAATAGCCCACATCACACAGGAAGCTGAGAAGCCCCGAATGGCACAGTCATTCCACGCTGCCTTCCCCCACCCCCAGAGTTGAATAATCATCTCCAAGCTAACTTACCCTCCCCAGGCTGGCTTCCTGCAGCTTTAAAGTGTTAGCTTTTTGATGCCCACTTCATCCTGAGTGTTCGGAAAGGGCTCATGCTCCCTGGGAGTAACATTTTCCCAAGGAGGACTGAAAGAGTGAGAGAGCGTTCTGAATTTGTCATTTCCTCTGAACCACTTTCTAATTGGACTTCCTTAAGAAATTCTCTTTTTTTTTCCTTAAAAAAACAAAAATTTTAAAACACTCTGATTTAAAGAACTACTTATTTTGAAAAGTTTGCTGCTTATGCTATTTGTAATTTTTTCAACAATAAGCCATAAAAGAGGAAATTAGGTGTGCTCGGTTTTCAAAAATCTATACTTGTGCAGAAATGTGAACTTCAAAAACTGACATATTAGAAGTGATTAATCAAAATACAAAAAAAGTCTTCAAATTCCAAAAAAGCCATAAAAGAGGAAATTAGGTGTGCTCGGTTTTCAAAAATCTATACTTGTGCAGAAATGTGAACTTCAAAAACTGACATATTAGAAGTGATTAAATAAAAATCAAAAAAAGTCTTCAAATTCCAAAAAAGACTCTTTGTTTTACAAAAGGACTCACATGATGCAGTCCTTGGAGCCATTTAAGAACTCCTGAATAGATTATTAACCTAAAACCTTGAGAACATAGAGAGTTAAAATTGATTAAGAATCAACTGAAGATTAATAAGAGATGAGAATGAAACGTTACTAAAATTTAAACATATACTAATGGGAAAACATTTGAGCTACAAAAGTTCAACTACACTGGTTTAGAGACTCATTAATTTATATAACATGATAAATTATATAATTTTATGTGACCAGGGTTATAATAATGATTTGAATCAGCATTTATAATGTTCTTATTTCCTGCCAGATGCTTTCAAAGTTCCTGAAGAACATTTTCCCTCCTTTTTAAGACATTTTGACTGCATGGCTTTGTTCACCGGTTTTGCTTGCCAGATAAAATACAGAACACTTAAATTTAAATTTCAGAATAATAGCAAATAAATTTTTAGTAAATAATGTTTAGGACACAGTTATACCTCATTATGAGAATGTTTAGTCTCCTTTTCTTTATTTCAAATTCTAGCTGGCCTTTTCAGGGTGATGCGTGTGGCAGTGTGAATGCACCAACCACTTAGGCCTTTGGATTAGGCAGCGAACAGATCATTACTCCTGAATTAAAAGGCTTCCTGGCATCCAGGAAATAGTAAATGTTTGATGTATTAAACTGAAAGTTGTAGCTAATGAGAACTTCTCCTTTCGATGAAAAAAAACTCCCTCATCCCTTCTTGTTAATATGAACATATTTATTTAAGACCCAGGTTCAGGCCATCCGTGTTTCTCATTTAGCTGAAGGTTTCTCCTCTTCCTCTTTCTTTTCTTTCTTGAAAAACAGAGTAAAAAGATATTTATGCTAAAAGTTTTACATGGATATAAATTTTGGAAACCAGAAAAAGGCAACATTATATTTTCCACACTACAGAGCAAATAGTCCTGTCTCTTCAACTAAATTCCTCATTCTGGGTGTCCTGATGCTGAGTTCATTCACAGAGAGGTCTCAGTTATCAACACTAGCCATTTGGGGGCATCAGGAGCCATGCACCTCAGTGAGCCCGTCCTTAACAATTCTGCAGAGGCCTCGGACTTGGCCCGGGCAAGTAAACTCCCGTGACGAACCAAGAAACCCACAGCTACCTTAGTCTTCCAGAAGTTCACCGAGCCGAGAAAGAAAGAAAGGCGTTTGGGTTTGGATTAGTTCCCTAAATGAAGACTTAATGTCATATCACTTTCTTCTTCATCCTATAAAAGACTTGGCAGGATGTCAGCTATACAAGCGGACCTCGTTAGTATTAACTTTGATAGTAAAACACTTGCAAACCACAAAAGAGGAGCATCATTTAAAAAAAAAAAATGGTCAAACACTTGCTCATTTCCCAGACCTACTTGGAGGAGCGATCTTGGAAAACACGTTCATTTAAAACCTAAAGTTTTTGAAAATCAAAATGTCCAGATGCATTTAAGTCACCCTTCAGTGTGCAACCAAATATTTTTGGCATCATTCTATTTAAAATATTTTAACTTTGATGTGCCCTTTGTATAAACAGTGCTGTTTAAACAAATGAAACCTTGTGCTGGGGCACAAATTCGGGAACAAACCGTTCACTGCAGAGGCTTTGCTCCCCTGATTATGGGGAAAAAATAAGTCGCCCCTGGAATGAAGGCCTGGGGTATTGAATATTTTGTAAAGTTAATTGAGCTTTTATAGAAGC